CATATAAAGTATATCTTCCATACCTCTGATTGTTTAGATGCGATTTTTTATATAAGTATGTAACTCCTCTATCGATGTATGCAGATGTATTCAAAAGCAGTAATCTGTCAAAGTAAAATTTGCAGATGTTCATGAAAGGTATGAAGCCTTCGGCATAGCCGAAGACAGCGCTGCTCTTACTTGTTTTAGCTCTTTTTTTTTAAAGGAATTTGGCATACCACCACATAGAGTGGTGTGAATAAATACACTTTTGCACTTTTAAATCGAACTTAAGTGTTTCCTTTGAACGGGAAGGCTGACTTCCAAAACGTACCAATACAATGTTTGGATACTGTTCTACTGCGGTATTTAAACTGTTTGTACTCTATTCCAAAAAATATCGAATTACAACTATGGAGTAAAAAATATCGGTATCGAATGTCAAAAGTATCGATATGGTATCGTATAGTATCGAAATTCGTGTCCCTGTGCAGAATAGGGCTGCTATAAACCTGAGCCCATCGACCAGGACACTTATTATCCATATCAAAGACAAAAATACAAGTGAATATTGTATAGAAACTTAGAAAAACTTTTTCTAATCAGGGATCAAAGGTCCTACGTAGTGGTAGGTCACACCTCTAACCACTCACCCATAGTGGCCGCCATGAACATCGATGAAAAACGTCAAACAAATAAAGCGAAGTTGTCCAAATATCGGGAAGCAAAGATCGATGTTTTGAGCAAACGATTTAGATTAATTAATTAATTTATTTATTTATTGAGCCTATGAACATGCAAAAGTTCCTTACAGACTAGTTAACAAAATTCAGCTTAATTGATAATTAGAAGAAATAAAATTTATAAAATTGAGTTCAATAGATTTTTGGAAACATTTATCGAGCAAGAAAAGTCAATAATTACATTTTTTGAGATCATATTGAATTCACTAATTGCGCGTGCAATAGGGGCATTACGTGCATATTCCTGTTTGTGATTATCCCCAGAAAATGGGAAAAAAATCTTAAGCTACACCGAGGAATGTTGAAACTAATTTTCTCTAAAAGACTGGGGCAATCTGTAGCACCAATAATAATATTAAACGTAAAAGACAAAGAGGGAACAGATCTTCTTATCTCCAAAGAATTAATAATAATAATAATAATAATAGATTGGCGCTTACACATATGTTAGTGTTTGGCCGAGCTTCTCCTCCGAATTGTAGCGTGCGCCTTGATGTTGTCACACAAAGCGGAGGGACCTACAGTTTTACGCCGACTCCGAACGGCGATTGCATTTTTATGAGAAGCTGTTTTTCATGGCAGAAAAACACTCGGAGGTTTGCCATAGCCTGTCGAGGGACCACCGCTGTTAAGAAAAAACCTTTTTCCTATATTTTCTTGCGATGTTGCTTTGACCACGGTTTGAACCCAGGTGCTGCGGAGTGGAAGCGCGAACTGCTTACAACTACACCACAGCGGCCGACAAAGAATTAAGACTTATT